AGAGATCTTGGAAGAATTGGTGACAGACTAAAGAATAGTGAGAGACCTTCGAGGAGTTGGTGACAGACTACAGAATAGTTAGTGAGGGACTCTTTAGAAGTGAGTGAGAGACCTTCGAAGAGTTGGTGACAGACTATGGAATAATGAGAGACCTTGTAGTAGTTGGTGACAGACTATAGAATAGTGAGAGACCTTGTAGTAGTTGGTGACAGACTATAGAATAGTGAGAGACCTTCGAGGAGTTGGTGACAGACTATAGAATAGTGGGAGACCTTTGAGGAGTTGGTGACAGATTATAGAATAGTGAGAGACCTTGTAGTAGTTGGTGACAGACTATAGAATAGTGAGAGACCTTGTAGTAGTTGGTGACAGACTATAGAATAGTGAGAGATCTTGGAAGAATTGGTGACAGACTAAAGAATAGTGAGAGACCTTCGAGGAGTTGGTGACAGACTACAGAATAGTGAGAGACCTTCTAGTAGTTGGTGACAGACTACAGAATAGTTAGTAAGAGACCTTTTAGGTGTCAGTGAGTGACCTTCCACTAGTTAATGACAGACTATAAAACAGTTAGTCAGAGACCTCCTATGAGTCAGTGAGGGTCCTTTGAGGGCTTAAGGAACTTAGAGACCTTCGTGTGAAATAAACCTTCATTTCGAGACCAGACGTGTTGAGTTTTGACTCGTATTTCTTCCTGTCACTCTTACTACACCACTCACCCCTATAACATCCGGTGTCATAGACACCTGGTCCGCTAGATAGCCACCCTGACTAGTCCCAGTAGGCCCAGGACGAAACGCACAGTCCCCTCCTTCTCCTCCCTTCGCCCATAAATATCCTAGCGTTCTTCAACTCGAAAAGTACACCCTTATGACTTCGACGTTTTAAATTAACGACAGTTCCATGACCTGTACTCTTAAAAGAAGACGAATCGAAGAGGAAGAAATAGGCCCCTGTTAAGTTAGAGGAGCGAACGAGGTGGAATTGATGCAGGGATGAAGGAAGAAAATAAACGTTTATTAAGTAAAGAATATAATTGGAACGAGATTCTACGTTAGTTAAGTGTTCATTTAAAATACCGTGGTGCACGCTGGTAAAAATGGGAACCGGAGGACGGGAAAAGAAGCGAGTAAAAATAGGATGGCAAACGAGGGTAGGATAGAGCGAGGAAACTGTGGAACGTCAAGATTAGACGTTTTCCAAGCTAGGCGTAATACCCGAGGGTTGCTTACCCGTTTAAAGAGATACTTGGCGGTCTAAATGGACTTTGCTCGCGCGATTAGATTAGCGCTGGAAACGGGTCTTAATTGTCGTACGTTCTAACATTTCCTCCGGCTGGAATATCTAATTAGAACGATAAATAACCCCTTTCAAGAGCTTAAACGCGAGAAGAATAGCCACAGTGAGTTGCTCTTTAATCCCTCTCGCGATTGAAAAATCGTTCAACTTTAGACCTCGTTATCGAATCACTACAAATTTTTCAAAATCGATAAAAGATTCTTCTGTATACTCTCACAGTTGCTTAATGACTCCTAGCTTCCAAAACTTGCAATAAAGCTACATGCTGAGAATAAACTCAGCATCCTAGCGATGTGGGGATGATCCCTTCCCCTCCATTTTGCTTTTGTCACAGCGTGTCTTTTGTCTCCAGTTTCTCTGGAGACGACTGTGACCTGGTCCAAGTCAATCAGCTTAGTTCTGTCAGTGTAATCGTTAAATAAACATAGTCTTCCACCGATTGTGTGGACTCATGTCCTTTTCAATATAACCCCTCATCAAGAACAACTGAGTAAATACTTTTTTCGAAAAACATTCCCAAAATACGTAACTCTTTAGCGTTCTACACCAGCATCCTCCCCTAAATGCTGTCAAATTATTGACATCGAGCAATAAATGACGATTTTCCAGTTACTTATTAGTCCTGTCAACGATTTAGAAATGACTGCTTACGCGGTAGCTGTACTGTCATCACTATTACGATGTTTAACATCGAGTCGGTGAATCTGGTAACGAGAGGAACAATGCAGAGACGTTGCGAAAGTGGCGTTGCAACGGTAAAAATGGCAACTCGAGGGCCTCGAGAAGGCAGACCTGCGATAATGGAAAAGAAACAACGGGAGACATCGGAAAGTAAATGTCAAGAATTAGAGGAAGTAGCCCAAGGACAGTGGGGGGAAGATTCCGAGAATAAAGAAGCAGCAGGGGACCGGGGAGAATACCTAGGAGTAAGAATGAGAAGCAGCGCCGTGAAAGGAAAAAGAAGAACGAGGGGAGCGAACTTCTCGGAAGCGCGGAGACACGACGAGCAAACAGCAAGATGTCCGAACAAAAACGACCCTAGAATGCCCTCGAAAGTCCCAGGACTCTAACGCGTGTCACAAATCTGAAGATGTCCGCTGAGATGAAATTGAATTACAAAATGACCGTGGAAAGCGATGAGAAAGGGGACGAGTAGATTTTACGTGGGACAGGTCGTAGAAAGTGATGGGAGCCAGATGCGAGTGCGCGTCACCGGCTATTCGACACCCGGCGATGGCCATTACCGCGGAGAAAATGGTCGTTTTAGCCTCGTTTCGACTTCATACCTTGTCAAACTGCGGACCCAAGTGGTTCGGGAAAGGCTGGTTCTCGATTCAGCGCACGACTCGATGAGCTTGTGTCTCGGGATAGTGAAGTTTGCAAATGATCACTTCGCCTAGTGTCCTGTGCACACTGTCATCATCGTCACATCGCATCATCGTCAGATTTTTATTCACAGAGTAGTCGAATTTTATGGACGATGATATAAACCTATAATTAGCTCAAAGAAACGAGACACCATTGTTTTCACCAACGTCTTCCTGATCAGTCACGTGACTCGATGACAGGCATGATTAAAATAAATATAACGATGGCGACTATATCACGATGACGAATGTGATGAGGATGATACTAGCAGGATGAAGTATGTAGACGATTATGACGGTGATGACATCCTCTTGAAGAATTTCAATGCCATGATGACGACACTTCGACGGATATGATGAAGATACCATGTTTGTAATTATGATAACGATGGTGATACCATGACGAAGAATATAATAATAATAATTATGATCAAATGGCAATATAACAACGAAGATGACACCTTGTTGAGGAATTTTAATACCACGATGGTGACACTTTGATGAATATGATGAATATATCGTGATCGTAATTATGATAACGATGGTGATACCATGAGGAAGAATATAATAATGATAATCATGATCAATTGGCAATATTACGATGAAGATGACATCTTGTTGAGGAATTTTAATACCATAGTAATGACACTTCGACGGATACGATGAAGATGACATCCTGTTGAGGAGTGTCAATGCCACGATGACGACACTTCAACAGATATGATGAAAATGACATCTTGTTGAGGAATTTCAATACCACGATGTCGACACTTTAACAGATATGATGAAAATGACATCTTGCTGAGGAATTTCAATACCACGATGATGACACTTAGATGAATATAATGAAGATATCACGATCGTAATTATAATAACGACGGTGATACCATGACGAAGAATATAATAATAATAATAATGATAAAATGGCAATATTACGACGAAGATGACACCTAGTTGTGGAATTTTAATACCACGATGGTGACACTTCGACGAATATGATGAATATATCGTGATCGTAATTATGATAACGATGGTGATACCATGAGGAAGAATATAATGATGATAATTATGATCGAGAGGCAATATTATTATGAAGATGACACCTTGTTGAGAAAGTTTAGTACCATGATGATGACACTTCGACGAATACGATGAAGATACCATGATGGTAATTCTGATAACGATAGTAATGCCGTGACGAAGAATATAATAATGACAATTATGATCAATTGGCAATATTACGATGAAGATGACATCTTGTTGAGGAATTTTAATACCATAGTAATGACACTTCAACGGACACGATGAAGATGACATCCTGTTGAGGAGTGTCAATACAACGATGACGACACTTCAACAGATATGATGAAAATGACATCTTGCTGGGGAATTTCAATGCCATGATGATGACACTTCGACGAAAATAATGAAGATATCACGATCGTATTTATGATAACGATGGTGACACCATGACGAAGAATATAACGATGATAATTATGATTGAGAGGCGATATTACGACGAAGAGTATGATTACGATGATGATTATGACACCGCGCAGATGAATATGAATAATACAACGTCGAATATCGATATCACGATGATAAATATCATGGCGGAAGGCTGAAGGTGCACTTCAGCTTTCTAACCCTAAAAATATCCTGCATTGGTATACACAGAGAAAATATGAAAATCGAATGACAGCTCGCTAAGAAAATTCCGACAGCGCGGAATATAGGCTAATAACTCGAAGCTCTCCTAAAATTACGATTCCTTCGTTTAATACGGTAACGTGGCCTTGAATAGGTATAATACCCAGCGATAAAATACGCGTCATAAACTGCCGCGTTAAACCATGCCATACCGTATCCCTGTTAGTCAGCTAATTACAAAAACGTCGGAGGAACGACGTGCTTTTGTCGTTCCACGGTTTTTGTCCCAAGCTCTCAAGCATTTCGCTCCGTATCGCCAATTAAAACGACAAAACGTACGTGACACGGCGAATAGGGAAAGAGAGAAAGGGGGGAGAGGGGGTGAGAAAAGCGCACGCCAATACCGCGTGGGTTACCCCGTTGCGCTATTCTAATTGGTAACGCGATCCTGCAACCACTATTGATCTACGAAATCGATACCTGTCGATAGAATATCAAAATTTGTAAGTTTTCGCCGAGCGATATTCCACTGGATTTTTCTCGAATAACGTTCCGAAATGGGGATAAAAATTTCTCGATTCTTGGAACGAAAGCCACGGTGTTTCCGCGTAACAGATATTTCGTGTACACGCCGGAGGATTCGAAACGAGATTTGTAAAACCGTTTTGAATTATTCGTTTGCAGGTGTGACGGGACTGAAGGACCTGACAATGAACGTGCCAGCGATGGTGAGATCCGGCGACACGGTGACGCTCTCCTGCCATTACGATTTGGAAGGGCTGCCATTGTACAAGATACAATGGATGCTCGAGGAAGTGGAGTTCTATCGAAATGCACCAGATCAAGATCCACCGTACAAGACCTACGACGTCGATGGAGTACACGTGAATGTACGTATCTCTTTTCACTCTCCTCCTTTGTCTCTCCCTCCTTCGGTTTCGTACACCCCGAATACGTCTTGGTTAAAATTATTTAAATTCCTCGGAACGATGGGTGCGAACGACGAGTCGGACTCGTCGCCCCGATTCAGGGGTTCGGGACGAGGCTACCATCGATCCAGATACACCCTCGATATCTGACAGGAACTGTGTCAGCTGGGCCAGAGTGACTGTTGACTGCATGATACGTTTGTTTTCTGTCGAAACATCGATGGATGTCGTTATGAGACATTAGTTAGGAGAATAACTTCCTATATGGTGTATGTATACGACAGGCTGTGAAGAAAGACATATACATATGCTATATTCCTATATAGTAGTATATACTAGTAATACATTCCTATATTCTTATATAGTATATGTATATGACGGATAGAGAAGAAGTCAGAAGAAGGCAGGCAGTCAAGAAGATTCGTCAGGGGATTGAAACACGTGTGTAGGGGCTCATTTCTAGGTATATTATAAATAAATGTTATTATAACTGGACAAAAGTTAAGCAACTTCTACTGTAACTAGACCTCTGACGCAAGAGTATCACGCTGATCAGGTAAGGTTGCAAGTAACATGTACAATCACGAAGAGGAATCGGAAATTGAAACAGATAGAATGCAGCAGCAGACACGCAATATCCAAAAAATAGGGAAAAAAAAAATATTCTGTTACCAATCGACGAAATATAAATATTGGAAATAGAATTTGAAAACACAGAGAAATCTTCGATTTAAGTTCCAATATAGTTCTTCTTATTGAAGTAACTAGGCCTCTGACGTGAGGGTATCACGCTGGTCACATAAGGTTGCAAGTAACATGTACAATAACGAAGAAGAACCAAAAATCGAGACATGGACAGAACGCAGTACCCCTGAAAAATAGGGAAAATATAAAAATATTGTGTTACCAATCGACGAAATCTAAATATTAGAAATAAAATTTGAAAACGCAGAGAAATCTTCAATTTAAGTTCCAATATAGTTCTTCTTATTGAAGTAACTAGGCCTCTGACGCGAGGGTATCACGCTGGTCAGATAAGTTTCAAGTAACATATACAATCACGAAGAAGAACCAAAAATCGAGACATAGACAGAACGCAGTACCCCTGAAAAATAGGGAAAATATAAAAATATTGTGTTACCAATCGACGAAATTTAAATATTGGAAATAAAATTCGAAAACGCAGAGAAAGCTTCAATTTAACCCCCAACGGAGTCCCTGCTTCTGGAATAGATAAAGTAATCGTGACAGTGAGGCAGAATTATACCCGACGAGGTAATTGAGAAAGCAAGGTCACGGGAATAGAGACTGGGAGCATTAATTCGTCCGTATTGACTCGTATGAGCCAACGAAGGCGGAGATTAACAGCAGCGTGGATTCACGGGCAATATGTCTGTGCAAGAGGGTCGACACAGTTTCCCCCGTTAATGCGAAACGTTGTTAATTACGTCGGGAACAGTGTCTTCCGAAAACGCGGCTTGCTGTACCCGAATTCGCCGCTTAATGCGCGCAATTAAACTTCGGCTCTCTTAATGAGCACTTCAATAAAAGTTTATGACGGGAGATCTCATTAAGTTCGCTGGCCCGTTCGTTAGATTCCGCGTTTCGGTCCGCTCGAGGACCAACCGGAGAAGGAGGCTCGGTTGATTCAAACTTCCGTCTGTTTCGAGGTCTACCTGATACTTGCTCGCGATACAGATACGTACTCGAGGTTCGAAAAAGCTACAACCTTTTACGCAAACGTATTCCATGGTTCTCTGTTAGCATAACGCGAAGAGAGACCGACTTCGAATCCTCCACCGGGGTCTAGAACAGGAATTTTTAATAACAGATTCCTCGATGTTATTGAATATAAGGTGACCATCGTTCACGCACTCTTTACCACAAGGAATCCAGGATTATCTCGGTGAATCCTCCGATTCCCATGTATACAAATTCCTGATTTTCCAATAGTATTCCTGTCTGAGACAAGGGTCTGCTAGGTAGCCTCACTGACGAGTGAGCTACACTAGCAGGTCTCAAGATGAAATGCATCCCTTCCTTTGCATTTCGACCCCTCCAGCAGCTACCCCATCGAAGAGGCCACACCATCGCAACGAAGATATAAGCATCGATTTTAAGTGGACGAGGAGGACCTTCATAAATAAAAAAGAAAAGAAAAATTCGAATTTCTAAGATTGGTTTGTAGCACAATTAAATTAAATTGTGCCACAATTGAGTGTGGTAAGGACACAAAGGAACACAGATTGGAAACTTAAAAGGGTATTGCCTGGAAAAATATTTACTTCACACCGTGATGCACACTAAACACGTTAAATGCGACGCTAGTTTTACGTGCCGTTCCGTTCACGTCACAGTTAGCCGTCATACGGAACCTTCCGGGCCGTACGGACTAGCGAGGACTGAAGGGAAAGTCTAGCGCCGGTCTCTGGGGACCGTAGGGGCGTGGCGTGTAACGTGGTAACTGCTTGAGCGTCTACCGACGATTCGTCGCGCGTGGAGGCTCCGCCCATTCGGGGCCCTTCGCTCTCGTCTACGGAACGATCGAGAGCTTGCGCTAGCACTGAATTATCGAGATTTGTCGGAGGTCGATGAGGCCCATTGGACGATGACTATTGAGGCCCGTCTATCACCGACTGGACCTCGATAGGTTCGTTGGATATTTATTTACAGGTGAAAGAAAAGACAATTAGTATAGTACACTTTATACAAACTAGCTTCATATAAGTTTCAAATTATGCTCACGCTACCAGTTCCAGACTGATCGATCTCTCATCAATTGCGAATCATCACTTATTCGTTGCACTCCCATCTTTCATTATCGACCTAGGTTCAATTCCTATTTTAACTTAGCAAGTGAAATAACAGGATTTTGTTCTGACAAATCTTGCCTTCTTCATAATTCGTTACTCAGAAACGATCGACAACCAATAGAACCAGTGGTCATACTAAAGTAAGTACTTCAGCAATTAAGTGCCAGGATCAAAATAGAATGACTGCTATCCTACAAAAGCGATATCACACGATATATACAAAAATTGCGAGGCAACAACGTTTACCATTAAAAAGGAATGTTGGAACAGCTAGTAATTAGGCTGATTAGATGGCACACGACATCTATATAAAATCACTGTGACTATTGTTATTATTCTAGAATGTTCTCTTCCAGGAGCCAACGGCTCATCCTAACTATGTAAGTCAATTGTTTGAGAGGCACTAATTTAATAAGGTTCACTTTACAAATATATATACCTCAATCCACTGCCCAGGTACTTTATCAAAATTATGACAAGGAACCGAATTAGAATTTTCAATCATCAATGATGCGAATTAGCGTGAGAATGAGAGCTAAATAGATCTGGAAAAAGGTGCTAGAATGCAAAAGTAGTTGCATGGCAAAGAGCTTGCACAGAGAAAGAGACTATTTTTCTTCTCTTTCTTCCGTTTACATGTAATCATTGATAAATAAATATATAGTTCATTCGTCAAAATTGTTCAACTGATATTCGAACCTTCATCGCGAATAGTCTACCGGGTGTCATAAAATTACCAAATCGATCGTGAAGGAACCAGGCAAAAATCGCCAGGAATTCTCGATCAGTCGCGAATATTTGCACGCATTGGCGCGGTTATCGAGGAGCAACGATTTTTCGCGAAGAAAAATTCCGACGATCGTTTCGTTCGGTTGATAAATCCCCGTGGCGGAAACAGCGGCGAAAGCAGCGACGTTCTTTTCGCACGACGGGCACAAGGACGTCCCAGCGACGTCCATTTATCAGTCTCCCGGCTGTATTTCGAAAGCAAGTGGAGATAAGACCGAATGGCGTCCCGATTTTTCCGCCCTCCGCTCGAGCACCCTGTTTTTCCTCTGCAGCGCCGCCCCTTTTCCCGCGATATCGTGCAGCGTTTCAAACTTTCTAACTGCGTTTTCTGCGGGAATCCTGTAACCTTCGCTGAGAGTTGTAACGAGCAAGTGTTCCAGGGCTATGCGGGTTTTTAAGTGCCTTGAGCGAGGAAAAACGTGCACCTCGCTGTCTGGATGCCTTTGAGCGGGATTTAAACTTCTTAACCGAAGATTTCGCGACGAAACACGGGTAACTTTGCTTGCTTACATATTCATTGGCACTCGATCATTCACGGAAAACAGGGAAAAATCGACTGGCTTCGTATATAGAAGCAAGATCACAGAGATTGTGTCGTACGAGTGTACATCGCGAAGAACGTTTAAATGCGAACAGGAGTGGAGGAAAAATCGGTGAAGCACGGGGTGAAGTCTGGTCGAGTGAAACAAGGAAGTTAGACGATCCGGGTCGAAATCCACTGGATCGGGGATTCCAAAGGGTCGTGTCGCGGTCGTAGCACACGCCATAAATCAGCCCTATCGATTTCTTTCGGCCGGTCCACGCTTCGGTTCGCACTTACGAACCCTCCCTCCGGGAGGCTAGGGGTGGTAAAAAGTTTCACCTCGGTGACGCGCAACACTTTTATCGAGTCCACCTGCCGCCACTGTCTCCGACAAAGTACACCAGTCAACCCGGCTCGCTTTATCGCGCCAACGATTGCAGGCGTCTGTAGAATTTTGAGAGCTCGCAACTTCTTGCGGCACTGAGCTCTAGAGTGTCTAAGCGGAGCTTTCAGGATCCTTCGGGGAATCGGTTTAACGACGGATATGGGGGAGAGTTAGAAACGAGTGCGTGACTTTTGTGTGCAATTGGGGGTTGCAATTTGGTCGAGCAATGTTGTGGATGGTGAGGCAGGGGTTGTAACGCGTGGAATAATTTTTTGGGGGTGGTTTATTTAACCGAGACGAAGAATATCCTTTTTAGTAATATGCAATGGAAGCAATTTGCTATTTAATAATTTTTGCAAATTTGTTTATAATAAGTTGCTCCTCGGGTGCAGATGTAGACAAGATTTCTTAGAAATGCATGATTTTCATGTGCAATTGGGGGTTGCAATTT